TGCGGCGGCGGCAGCTGCTGAGGAGGCGGCGGAGCTGCATTTTATGTCGGAGAAGGAGTACTTTAGCGGGAGCATAGTAGAGGGAATAGGGATGAGGAGTAGGGGGGCGGCGGCGGAGGAGCCGGCGTTGAAGAAATCGAGCTCTTATAACGAGGAAAGGTGACGCCTTTAGATTTTCGGGCTAATTTATATTGGGGTTTAGGGTTTATTAATCATTTTTTAATTATGTGGCAGGGGAGCGAAGCTTGGGATTGGGGCAGAGGAAGGGGAGGAGAATGGCGAAGGATTGAAGGTAAAGTGTATTCCTGGAAGGAAGCGAAGCTTAGCCAAACAGCAATGAGAGGAAAAGGCATTACTATTAATTTAAGTAATTAGACTTTTAACCTTAAGAGTAGTTATATGAATACCAGATATTTGTGGGAGGAGATTTTAAATGGTGATTTGGTGGGGTCGGTGGAATATTAATGGGGCTGTGGGGCCATTATTGTACTTTAGAGTTGACTTGTTGTAGTACTGACATTTTGGGTTGTCAGTTTGATGTAGATTTGAGCCTGAAAAGTTTTCATGCAATTTAAGTATTTACATACCTAACCCATAAATTTTATTTTTTTAATATTTTACTCATTCAAATGTTTCATATCACGTAAACTTTTTTAATTATTTTAGCTGACAAAAAAGAAAAATTACACACACATACATGTGTCTATATATATATATATATTGAATGAAAATTAGTATTTGGCAGAGGCTCAAATATATATATATATAATAAGATGACAGGGATATTATTATCTTAATATTCAATGGAAATTTTTACACATGGATATGAGTTTTTTAACAGATTTAAAATTTTTATTCGAATATATTTGTTATGTTTTCACTAATGCAAGTTTTATAATTTAAAAGGTCTTTTACATTGCATTTGTAAAATTAAAAAAAAAAATAGGGGCATTTACATACATATCTACCAATTCTTATATATTTACATATCTGTCAACAAAACTTTATTATATTTATACCATCCAAATTATTCATATGTAAAAAGTACCATTATTTTAACTTCTAAAAAATGGAATACATTTTTTCATGCATGGTAAAAATTGAACTATAAATACCGGAAAAATAGTATGTCAATTTTAAAGGAAATCAATACAATATAATAGATATGAACTATGGGGAGGATAAGCATTGGTTGTTCATTATTAAAAGGCTTTGGACAAATGTTGAATCAAAATGCTAGAAATCTAGCAATTGGAAAGGTTGGATGGAGAGTGATGATCAAAGACAGGTTTTATTGTCGTTCATGTAAGAGTGTTCATGTAAGAGTCAAGATGAAAGATCGATTAGATGATGTTGGACGACGATTCGTCAGGAATTTTGAATATTGGGCAGCAATCGATAGTTTACTTGGTAGCTATCGTAATTCCAGCAAGTTTGTGGCATCGAACATTAGCGATTGGAAAACACTAAACCATTGCTTAATTGTGGTTGCCGACATTGATTGTTGATAGTGATCAAGGGTAACATCAAGAAACATGAGCAATTTTAAAGCCATTATCATTAGAAAATCAAATAATATATTACAAAAATTAAAATGGTCAATGAAAACATTTATTAGAAATTATACATCAAAAAATAGTCTGCACAAATCTCGAAACAATCTATATATTTTTTTTCAAATTAAAAGTTAAAAGATCATCACTAACGAAAAACTATAAGTACTTGTGAAGTCAACCAGCTGAAGAACTACCTACCGATGGATAGCCAGCCGACCGAAGGGCTGGTAGATCCATTGATTTAATCACCAATTCGTATTGATTTTGTGCAAATTTTTGTGGAGCTGATTTTGAGTCATGCTCAGCTTACTCAGATCGGGTCCAACTTGCTTGAGACCTTCAATTTTTTTTTTTTAAATTATAAAAAGGCAAACCCTAGATTCATCTCTGACATGACATCGAGCGGTTTCCACGATTGATCGATTCTTTCATTAGGGGCGTTTTTCATCTCAACAAATCTCGCAGGTCTATTCCTCTCTTTACGGCGGGTGGCGATGGCCGGCGGCAAGAAGAAGGGAAGGGGAAAGACGAATAAGAAACCCCCGCCGGAGCAACTTCTCGCTTCCCGATATATTCACGAGTGGGTCTTCCGCGAGGAACGAGACTCGCCGCAACAAGCGACCTCCGATGCCGATGGGTTCTTGCGGCCGCCTCTGCTGAAGCGTTCTGCGATTGATCGTGTAGTCTTCGAGTTTCACTGCCATTCCAAGTTCAGCGATGGGTACTTCACGCCATCGGAGGTCGTTGCGAGAGCCCATAGGCATGGAGTGAGCTTCTTCCCTTTCACTTGATTATCTGTTTTCTGTGTTTGGTATTTTTTGTGTTTTTTTTTTGGTCATATGTTATATATGGAAATTAAGCTTTGGTTTATTGTCTTTTAATTAAAGAAGTCATCACAACCTCCATTAGACTATGTATCAATAAAAAGAAAAAATATCTTAAATTTTGATTTTGCATCAGGACTCCAATCACAATACGCCACGTGTACGGTTCAACCCCACTGAATATAAAAAAATTAAATAGTTTAATGCATGATGGGGTCATACCGTACACGCAATGCATTGGGGTTGGAGTTCTAATGCAGTTTTGTATCAGGACTCCTCATGTAATGTTTTTTTCAATAAAAATATGTGGGAAAAGTGCATACATGTCACTTAATTTTTATGTATTTTCATATCTATCGCCCCAAGTTTTACATTTACGCTTATAAAAACTTGCTGTCATGAAGCTATGTATGAAAAGATGTGTTTCACTTTTTAAACATAACAATGGTGATATTTTTTGATGTGATGTTAAAAATTTGAGTGGTATGCATATAAGTATGAATGTTTAGGTGTTAGATATCCAAACAAATAAGGATTGTGTGGTATGTATGTAAATGCCCGAAAGGCATATAAGTAGGAATTTAAAAAAATGGCAATGAATTATTAATTTATAAATTTCATTAAATGACATTATTATAAAACCAGTGACTGAAATAAGAACTAATCAACATAATTTATGAGGATTTTAGAATTTTAAGTTGGAGGAAAAATCTAATTTTTGCAATTGAGAAGTTGGTTTTACAATATTAACTTGTATGAAGATTGCTATCTTGGTTAGGGTTTCTTTTAGTGTTATTTAAATTTTGGTGTGATAAGCACAAAGTACATGGGGTAGCTTATTCATTGGTTGCCTCTATAACCTTTTCTAGATCGGAGTTTAATCCGCTAAAAAATGTTCTATTTGGTGATATTAATCTTATTAACCTTTTGTTAGGTTACAATAATATATAAAAGCTTGTCTTTATTATGGTTTTGGGATTATTTTTTATTATTAGAATAGGTGGACTAACTTGAAGATTACACTATTCTACTTGAATTGATTGGTGTTAGATTCAATCACCTTAACAATGGGTTGCACATAGACTAACTTTTGACTAAAGTAAGAACTCCAAACTTCCTTTATCCGAAGCTAATGGAAAATGGCCCATAATGCCAATCCACATTGAATGAAAAATACTTCACAAAAAAGAAGATGACACCAACAACTTGCGGGTAGCAATTTTAGCTTCACTACATGAAATTTGAAGCATTTTTACACATCCAGCCAATAAAATTCTTCATCAAGAATTTTGATGTGATGCTCCGAGCATAACTTTGGAACAGAGCAAATTCTTTGATTTTAGTATGGATAAAGCTTCCGTATAAAACTTTATGTTGATGACCAAAGCTGACTAAACTTCCTTGTGGTGATGGATATTTGCAGGCTCATCTCTAAAATGGTCGTATTTGGGAAAGAAGTGGTAGGATCCATCTAAGAGGGTTTTCTATCGAATGTGTTAACTTGTCACAATCACTTAGTACTACGAATAGGACATCTATTCCTTAGATTTGATCACATCTTGATGAAGTGGTTAGTTTAGAAAGGATGTATTTTTTTTTTCATTTTACTCTCTTAGCACATGGATTATTTGTTATACCTTGATCTTAACTAGCGTGGTATTGACCAAGAGCCTTGTTGTGATCATCGCTTTGATTGTTGTAGATGAAAAGTTTGAGTCCCTTTTTTCTTTCCTTGTATTATCTTAATATCAGTAGGTATAACGGATTTCAATATGATGTGTAGTGCTTGATAAAATGTTTAAAAAATGGATTATAATGGTATGCCAAAGATGGCCTTGTGAGTCGACTTAGACTTCTCCACTACAAAGTAATAAATTGTTTAGCCTATTACAGAATTCCTTTAGGATAATGGACGAAAATTTGTCATTTTAACTTCTATCATTGGATTGTTGAATCCATAAAGGGAAGGGACAATTTGCCCAAGTTTTTATCCCTTTGTGAGTTCAATTTTAGAAATAGTTTTGAGGGTGTCAACATGACTCTATATGTTGATCAAAATCTTCTTTATATTGACGCAAGGATCATTGACCGAGTATTAATGACTAATGGATCATTGTGGGATGCCAGTTTTTTCCAAAGTCCGATATTTATGAGTAGTGAATTATTGTGGGGATGGCAATTGCTTCTTAAATCCAATTTTTACGCTAGCATATCATTTTGGGGATTTTTTGAAATGCTTCTTTCTTTAGTTGGAAAAATTTTTCTTGAGACATGCGACAGTCTGATTATTGTCTCATTCTCACCTATCTTCAAGTGATCTTCTTGCTAATTGTGGGGGTTGATTGGCAATTGTTAGGGTTATTTTAGATTCAATGGGCATAATAATTTAAAGAAATCCTCTGATGTACTTTTGATGGATGAGCCTATACTCCTCAAAGCTGGTTGCATGCATCTATGTAGTGCTATATGGTGGTTAGCTTACAATGTCAAATTAATTGAAGCCATTATTTTTTAGAGGTCATTGTTATTGTGATTTTTCATCATGCTACAAGAGGATATTAACTTGGATGATAATCGAAGGAGCAAACTCCTAGAGTGGGAGCAATGGTTTTGTATTGTTTTGCCTGATGTTTTTGAAGCTATTGTAGCAATTGTGAATATTGTAATTGATTTTTTATGGAGAAGAAACAAAAGATTGTCGTGACCTCTTCTTTTTTGGGTATTGTTTATTTTTTGTTCTATTACTTATCTTTGGCTAATTACTTATGGATATAACCTCACTATAAATGCAAGAGTATGGTTGTACAAATCAACCACTCCCATTTATATTTTCAAGGGCTCCATACACTTCGTATGGGATTTTATCACACTCACTAGTTCCTAGTTACTTAACATTTGGCGATGAGTGATATTAGTGGTGGTTTTTGTCAATAAAGATTTTGGCTTTTACATACAAAATGAATTTATGTTAGAATGAGACTTTCCCTTTATATAACTAGGGAAAAATTAATTTTAAAAAGAGTCTATAAAGAAAAGCCTCAAATGGACTAAATAGGGTCGAACTAAATGTACGAAAAGCACTCAAATATGATTTGTGCTTATTTGAAGCTTGAGGTGAAAAGGATCCCTCTAGCTTCCTCCTGGCATATGAATGCAATGAGGGCCAAAATAGGATTTGCATTTCTCACCTTTCCAACTGCAATGACTAATCTAAAGTGGTATGAGGCTCTTATCCTCTTTTTTTGTTTTCTATTTTGGATATAAATTCCTACATTTCTTATGCTTATGTTTCGATTGTTTGTATTAATAATGGGGTGGTCTAGTGTCTTGTTTATTTGTACATGGTTCTTCTTTTTTCTTCTTTTTTGTTGTAATAGGCTAAGTTTTTTGTTTGATTGAAAGAGATGTGTTTCTTTCCATAATTGCAATAGCTTTGATGCTATGTTGAGGATTGCAACAATAAAAAAAGTTCAAATTCTATTTGTGGGCTTTTTGTTCTGATGCATTTTTTTTATTATTGTTTTTTAAATGATGCATTTTTTTATTATTGTTTTTTAAAGATTTTGACTTGCTTATAAATTCCATTCTGTATTTTGCATATTATCCTTTTTCATGTTTTACCACTAAATCCATTTTTCTTTTTGATGTTTGATGGGGGCAAAATTGAAATTTTGAAATTATTTTAGACTCTTAAATTACATTTTGAATTATACACAGTATAATGTGTGTGGCGAACTCCAAACAAGTTGGATTCTAGGAGGGATTTTAAAATAGGGGTTTTTACATATCAACCACCCAAAATATTGAATATAATGTTTTAACCATCCAAACTTTAAATATAATATTTTAACCACATTTTTTATTACAATCACCCTCCTTTACCCACTATTGAAGGCTTCGAGTAAAAGTTTTGGGTTGTTAAAATATTATTTTTAAAATGTTTTAGGTGGTTGTTATGTAAAAATCCCTTTAAAATATTATAAGTTCTTTTTTGGAATGCCATGGTGCGAATATGGAGACTTTAGCTTAAGTTGTAATAATTGAATTTTAAATAAATTAATAATTAATAATAATAATAATAAAAATAATAATATATTGAATAGGCAATTAGATTACGAATCCCTTCATCACTTTAGTTACGACATAAGAGTCATGTCCCCATGCGAGCCAATCAAGAACTGAAAGACGAGAGGGAAGGTCGTAGGAGTAACGACAAAAGAAGAAGAGGAAGAAAATGGAGTCAAGTGGATATCTACCTATTTCGACACTACCCTAGTCGCTTGCTTGTAGAGGAAGGTGGAAGTGACATTATCAAGGGCGTGCGGTGCCGGGAAGAGCCACGGGACCTAGGAAGAAGAAGAAGAAGAGTTGAGACCAAAGGCAGAGGAAGGAAAGTTGAGGTGTGTTGCCTTGCACTGAACCGTGCTAAGGAATCCCGGCAGGAAGATCAGCTACCGAAGGAGGAGGAAGGAGCCGTGTCGTCTTCGTATGCAGAGGAAGCCGCGACCAAAGGCAAAACTCTGTGCGCGCTGCTCTATATGGTCAAGCCAAGTTCAAAGGAGTGGGAAGAAGAACATTCGTGCGTGCGAGGGAGCCGAAGCCGTGCGTTTGTGAGGTTAGGGCAGCCGGTTAAAAGGTATGTTTAATATTTTAATAAGTAAAAAATTATTATATGAATAATAATATTGTGTGAGGATATGTTTATTTAATTAGTGGAATATTTTATTGAAATTAGGACTCTAACAAATAGTAAATTCATATTTGAAGAAAAAGTTTGAGGAGCATGCGAGTGAGGGAGGAGATTAATTTGAGAAACTTATAAAGTAAATATTAATTTTATATTGTTATTATAACAAATAAGATAGTTCTTTAAATTAATGCTATTAAATTTTCTTGTAATTAGAAAGTGTGAGAAGACTGATAAATTCTCGGGATTTGAGAGAGGCTAGGAATCTTTAGGTTATAAGAGGTTAGTGTTTCTAATCATTCTTACATATTTAAATAAGTTTACAACATTTAAGACTATTTAGGACGTGATTCTTACACTTATATGTACTTTTAATTGATTTATGTGTTAGTTAAAGGAAGTGAAGTGAAAGGTTAAACTTTTTCAATTGTCTCTTAAGTCAAGGGAAACAATTATTTTGTTTTATACATTAAATGAAAGTTTTATTAAAGGAATGATTACTTTATTAAATAGTTTAAAACAATTATTTCATTCATGTTTTTCAAATTGAAAGTTTGAATTATATCTTTCAAATGGGAGGAAAATTACTATCATATAAAAGTAAATTTTTAAAAGATTTTAATTGATATGGTAAAAGTTTAAGTCATATAATACTACACCTAGATGGTACTGACAGGAGATGCTATGTATTTGTGCATGATAAAGGAAGTAGTAAAAGTGTACCTCTCGGTGCAATTTTTTAGGGCACTTACGGGTAAAATTTTTTTGGGTATCTTCGAGTACATTTTTATCATATATTCGGATATGACGGTAATTCTGTTATGACTCTTAAAAGTATTAAAAAAGATAAATACTTAAAGTGAAATCGGAAGTGATATAATTAAAGTGAAAGTTTATAATTTTATAAAGTAATGAACTGCATTTTTTTTTGTCATTCATGCATGACATTGACATAATAAGTTAATACATATTAAGATTATAATTGTTCACCAAGTCAAACTTAATGGTGAATATAACTCTCTTTTAAGAAAAGAAAAGTTATATGTTAGAAAAGAAAAGTTAATGTTGATATGTCTAGTAGGAGAGAGTTGTTTTACAGGAGAAGTATTATTGATCTGATATGTCTAGTAGGAGAGAGTTGTTTTACAGGAGGAGAAGTATTATTGATTGGTATTTATGATGATAGTAACTTTTTTTGTTTTCTTCAAATAGTGATATGTTGTTCCAAACTGGTCTGAAATGTTGTCTTCAAATTATGTTGTTTCTGAATGTTTTTTTTTTAATTGCACTTTATAGAATTTAGTGGCTTTTTTACATATTAGAAGATTTTATAAATTTGTGGATAGTTATGTAAATGTTTTCACTGTCCGATCGCAATTTCTTACTTGGTTAATTCCAATCTATCAGGCCGGGTCGTAACATAAGCTAATTACCACATTTATTTTCTTAAGCTGATTACACTTCTCCTTTAATTAAGGGTATTTTTTTTTTCTTCCTGTGGGATATGTGGGCGCCGGTGAGTACAATTTTTGCTAATTGTTTCATTTTTTGATGTGTTTAATGAAGGGAAGATTTGGGTGAACTCTTAGTGGTTAATCGCTGTCATCCGTGCTCAGAAAAAGTTCAAAATGGTCTCTGAATTATCCATGTGTGTTATTTTAGTTCTTGACTATCAAATATGTGTATAATTCAATTTTTTTCTCTTCAAATTTGATGTAAAATAGTCCGTGACTTCTCTAATATGATCCCAATTTTGGATTATGTTTGAAAAGTTGAGGGACTAAATTAAACAAATTTATTTTTTTGACTAAAATAACCCCATACAAATAGTTCAGTGATTATTCTAATCTTTTGTCTTAGTTGCTCAAGTTCTTATAGGCATGCAAGCAATTTTTACTTTTTCTTGATTTTTTGTTGAGAGAGCTATTGCTTTGCTCTTTTTAATAGCTTTTAATAGATGCATTGCTCTAAGTTTTGTCTTTGTTATTTTACTTGAGGGAAATTTACATACCTACCACACAATTGTTATGTCACATAAATTTGTGATTTTCTTTCTCTTTGTATTTTAATATAGGGAAAATTATTTACATGCCACACAATTCTTAAGTATTTACATATCTAACACCTAGACGTTATATTTGCATTTATGAGACTTTGGCGTCATAAATCTATGCATGAAAATGTGTAATTCACTTTTAAAAAATAATTAAAAATGATATTTTTGATGTGATATTGAAATTTGAATTATATTTATGTTTTAGATACGTGAATACATGAGAATTGTGTGGTATGTATGTAAATGCCCCTTTACTTAATGCTATTTTTTGTATTATATAATTGTTCCTTTACTATTATTGCCTCCTTCGTGCCACTGAAAGAGAGTTCAGGACATTTATCTTATTTGATTTTTGCATATCTAACTCATCTATAAAAAAAATTATGATTGAATTAATTATATATGATTATCGGGAGCTATAAAACGTAATAATGATTTTATTAAGCACTGCTTCAGCGCAGGTGAAAGTTCTCGCTCTAACAGACCATGATACGATGGCCGGCATCCCAGAGGCCATGGAAGCAGCCCACAAACTCGGCATCCTAATTATACCAAGTGTCGAAATAAGTACTTTATATTCTACAAGGTAAATTTGTTTCTTGCTCTAAAACTTACACTAATCTTTCTAAATGATTAAATAGCCAAAATAATCCTTTGATTGCTTATGTTAGTCCTAGAGTTTATAAAAATGATAAATTAATGTCTGAATTTTTTTTATTTGAGTCTAAAATAGTCCTCATTGACGACTTTTCAACCCATATTAAAAGATTATGGGGACTGAAATGACACTTTCATAAACCCTGGGACTAAAATTGCTCATTGTAAATAGTTAGTCGATCATTTTGACACTTTTCTCCATTCTAAATGATTCAAACTTGATTGAGTTGAATATAGAAGGGTGTTTAAGATTGCAATTAAATAGCAATAGATTCCTAATAAGTACACTATTAAGTAAGACGTTTTTTTTATATTAGGAATATTTACATGCATATCACAAAATTCTTGTGTATTTATATATCTAACACTAAAAATTTGATATTTATACTTATAAGACCTTGGTGTCATAAACTTGTGCATGAACAAGTGTACTTCACTTTTAAAAAGATAGTGATAGTGGCATTTTTTATTTGATGCTGAAGGTTTGAGTGGTGGTATAATAAACATGTAAATGCATAAGAATTGTGGGGTATGTATGTAAATTTGCCTTTATATTATTGTTTCAATCCAAACATCATTAAAGAACTTCATTTCCACAACTGCTATATAATATTGCATTTTTTATCAAATAGTTGAACTCTCTAGAGTTTTTTCTATTTATCAATCTCTATGTTTTTTTTTTTTCTCATTTTCTGCCCCCAAGTTCTGGGGCTGAGGAACCTGTGCATGTCCTGGCATACTATGGAAGCTGCGGCCCTGAAAAATACGAGGAACTGAATGAATTGCTGGCCACTATAAGAGATGGGCGTTTCTTTAGAGCACAGAATATGTTACTAAAGCTAAGCAATTTAAAAATGTCTGTTAAGTGGGAGCATATTGTTAAAATAGCAGGGGAAGGTGTGGCTCCTGGAAGATTGCATGTCGCTCGAGCGATGGTTCAAGCCGGGCACGTCGATAATCTAAAGGAAGCTTTTAGCAAATATTTGTATGATGGCGGGCCGGCTTACGCCAGGTACAATTATGTCGTAAAATATATTGCTTTCATGTTTCATGGTTCGTTTAAGGCGGATGCAGTGATTTGTAGAAGGCAGATATGTAAAGTATATGTTTTAGATATGTAAATACATAAGAATTGGGTGGTTTGTTATGTAAAAGTCCCATAAAAAATGATGTCAAATGTTAAACGTTACCATGTAACATGCTAACTTTGTTTTGCAGGGGAAGTGAGCCTTCTGCAGAATCAGTGGTAAAATTGATTTGTAATACTGGTGGTGTAGCTGTCTTGGCTCATCCTTGGGCATTAAAAAACCCATCTGCTGTCGTCCGAAGCTTGAGGGCGGCTGGACTTCATGCCATGGAGGTCTACCGAAACAATGGCAAGGTGGACGGTACGTTTTTTTATATCTTATATCCATGGATTATCGTCATTTTCAATTCCTTTCTTTTTGTTTAAGAGCAGAAAGCCCAAAATAGTCCCCGGACTATCAACAAGCGACCAATTTAGTCCCAATATTTTATAATGCTTTAATTTAGTCCTACACTATTGAGAATATATCCAAATTAGTCTCTAGGCCGAATTTCCTGTTTAATTTGACGGAGTTGTACCGCATATTGAGTGATTTGGTCATATTAATAAAATTATCATTTACGAAAATCTAAAGTTTATATTGAAAGAGAAACGAACCTGTGTTTCATCTTCTATAATGGAACCACATTATATCAAACCAGGGTACGGCGAATTGGCAGATTTGCACGGCCTTATAAAGCTCGGAGGATCAGATTTCCATGGCCGAGGTGGTGGTGATGAATCAGAGATCGGCAGTGTTGATCTTCCAGTTGTTTCCATCTACAAGTTTTTGAAGCTGGCGAGGCCTATTTGGTGCAATGCCATTAAGAGCATTCTACAGAGCTTCACCGCGGAGGACAGCAGCATGAAAGTGGAGAAGATGACCATTTTTGGAAAGCCTTTTGAGCTTAGAAAACGGTCGGAATCCATTAGCTGTGTTGCAGACATTGTTGATCTCTGTCTTTCTTCCTGGCTGAGCAGTGAGGAGAGAATGGAAGCTGAATTTGATGCCATTAAGTTGAGGCTGAAAGACACTGTAATCAGTAATGGGGAATTTTTAAAGCCTGTTGGTAGCCAACAGGCTTCATGAACAATTCTGAAGTAGCAATTTTTTTCCTTCCTGGGATATCACACAATTCTTTTTTATTTACACATCTCACACCTAAACTTTTTCATATTTACAGACATTGCACTCGAATTTTTAGTACCACATCAAAAACAGCACTATTATTGCTTTTTAAAAGTGAAATACATCTTTCTATGTATATGTTTAAAGCACCAAGGCAGGTTATGTCTGTAAATATGAAAGTTTAGGCATGAGAATTGTGTGCAACGTGAAATTTTTGGGGCGTTTACATACATAGCATGCAATTATTATGTATTTACATGTCTCATTCATAAACTTTCATATGTACACAAATAGGACTCGGATCTTTAATAGCACATCAACAATAGCACTGTTATAATATCTCTTTTCGTATATAGATCTAAAGCACTAAAGTGATGCATGTAAATATAAAAATTTTTGTGTGAGTTATGTAAATACGTAAGAATTGTGTGCTACGTATGTAAATTTCTCTTTTGGAAGTTTTACATACATACCAATCAGTCCTAGACATTATCTGTGCATGCAAAGGTGTATTTTACGTTGGAAAAGTTCGAATTGTTGTATTTCTTATGTGATATGAAAGAATTGGTTGTGGTATGAATATAAAAAAAGTGAAGTTTAGGTGTTAGATATGCAAATACATATGAATTGTAGGGTATGTGTGTAAATGCCCCTTTGTTTCTTGTTATTGCATCTTGTTATGCAGATTCACTGACATGTATATATATCAATGTTATTGATATAGAAGCTTTAGTGACTTTGAATAAGGGTTCCGGTGGTCTGCTTGTATACCGTATAGTGGTAGAATTCATGCTGTCATCCGCACATCTCGACTATGCACGTAATATTTTCAATAGAGTTTTACTCGGTTTTCGTGCATGCATGAAGTATGCACACCACAATTCCGATGTATTTAGGCATCTAACATCTATTTTTTTTTTTTTTTACATTTCTATCACCTAAATCTTTCATATGACATCTAAAGCATCATTATATATATATATATATGAAGAAAATGTTTATATATATCATATAATTCTTATATATTTACATATTTTACACAAACTTTCATATGTGCATATCTAACATTTTGGTAGTTTGGTGTTATGAACTTATGCATGAAAGATGCATTTGGCTTTTAAAAAGTGTGTGGTGGTTTTTTTATATGATGTTAAATGATTTGAGTGTATATGTAAATATTAAATTGTTTTTGTTAGTATGTAAATGCATGAGAATGTGTGGTATGTAGGAATGTGAATGTGCCTAAAAATTAAAGTTTAGGCGGTCGATATGTAAATGCAAAGGAATTGATCGGTACGTATGTAAGTTCAGTTCATTGGGATTCTTCGCTTTATTTTTGATCAATATGCGACGTGGTCGAGCATGTCAAAATTGAAATTTATTTCCACCTTTACAAGTCTTGACTATTACTTCTAAGTCTTCACTATTATTATTTTTTAAATTTCAGCTAGTTATTTTTAAAGAAAAATTCTGTTAGCAAAATATATTCATGAAGGAGTTTTTCTTTTTCCTAAATAAAAAATTGTAATTTCAATAATAAATAAGGGATATTTTGAGGTGACCGATTCGAGGCTATCTGCTGAAGTGGTTAATCCAACTTATCACCATCTTCATTAAGGGAAAATTTAGACTTATCTCTGTGAATGTAGTAATTTGATAAAACCCTAATGTTCGATCAGGACATATGTTACTCTCTCATTTAAAGACGTCGCCTGACATTGGGATCCAGTCCCATCTCCTAGGCTTCAAGGAGGCTTCGGGGATGGTCGTCATACCGACATTATATGACATTAGTCAGCAATGCTTCATATCCACGACATTGATCAAATAAAATACAACAATATAGTGCTTGGTATCATAATTTTATATTACTTTTCATTTGATGAATAAAAATGCTAACAAGGAATAAAGGGGCTCTTCTTTTTTGGGGTCTCTCTCTCTCTCAAATCTCTGAGAGGCCACCTGAAGATCGGATTGTATACGTGGCAGACAATGATTAACATGCTGATGTACAGAACATTATATTCTAGTTCAACGAATAGATTTGAGTGTATAATACCATAATTATATGTAATACGGCATGCATTGAATTATATGCTGGTAATATCTGTAGAATTTACTTATCAGAGGACAATAAGTTGATTATTAAATTATTATAGAAATAATCAACGAGACAATTTAACCTTGATTGCATTCAATTTATATAAATTATTATTCAATCCTTTTCTGATTGTAACGCAAATTATTTTTTTAATATGGGACAGAGTAATATAATTATTTTTTTTATTTTTTTATTTTTTTCTTAAGCCGTATCGATAGTGCAAGCTTTCTTTCTTCCAAGTTTCTCCATCTTAATCGGAGAATCAACATTATTTATAACGCAGAAAGAAAACAAAAAACAAAATCAGGTGTTATTATGTAAATATATGAGAATTGAGTGGTATGCTTTTATATGTAAATGTCCTTTTTATATATATATGCGCCGCGTACTCAGATCAGTTGGTCGGGCATCTGTTTGTCAGTTATAAGTACTCTTTGGTTTGGGGTTTGATTTTCACCGAGTGTAGGATGTGGTACTCGAATTATAGACGCATGAGGGATGACCAAAGCTCGTATCATAGTCTCTAGCCATTCCTCTAGTGTCTCTACTAATTTTTTTTATTATGTGTGTGTGTGTGTGTGTTGAATTTTTCTAAGTTGTTTAGAAAGCTCAACATCTTGATGTGAGAAAAGAATGGAGGAGATTGTCGGATCACCCTGAAAGGAGGAGATCATCTTTATTTATAGGGTTTGAGATGACTTCTCCTTTCACTGGATTTCTAAGAAAGAATATTGGATAATTTTAGTCTAATGCATGTTTGCCTACGACATGTCATTGAAAGACTGCATTGATGTTGATATCGTTAAACAGATTTTAGTCGAAGAACTATCTAATTGTATATAAAAATTGTGTCAGCAAGAATCTCGAGGAAATCCATCAGCCATTAGAGAAGATGACTTGGTAAGTTGGGGCCCTCTATGGGCAGTTTGAGAATCTGCATTTATCTGCCTAGCTCCAGATGGCTGGAAGAAATCTTATCTCCTTGACGGACGAAAGTCGACAGCCTTCAAACAGGTCACCCAGATGGACCTCTCATGGACAATACGACAGAACTCATGATGCAGGTCTGGCGGATGACAGAAATCGCCAAAATCTCAGACAAAAGACAATCACCTCTCAGTTAATCATTTGGCCATGGCCGCCCGGATCATAAACTGGCCTGAATTGTCAGTCGACTTCTTCTCTTGGTCAGCAATGGAGAAGCTTGGAATATCGGCCGACATTATCTGCCACCGCTTGAACGTGAACACCGCCATTCGACCAATAAAACAGAGGATCAAATACTTAGCAACGACGCTGGTAAGACCCATCAAGGAGGAAGTACTAAAACTAAAGGAAACAGGTTACATTCGGGAGGTGCAATACCCCACCTGAGTTTCAAATCCAACTGGTGCAGTACCCCACCTGAGTATCAACGCCGCCATGGTTCAGAAGACCAACAGAAAGTGACACATGTGCATAGGCTTCACAAACTTAAATGCCACTTGCCTAAAGGACTATTACCCCCTGTGAAGATCAATGTCCTTGTGAATTCAGCTGCCGACAATTTAGTCATAACTTTCCTGGATAATTTCTAAGGTTACCACCAAATAAATATGACTGACACCGTGAAGCTTGTTTTCATCATAGCTGAGGGTGTTTTCTGTTATAATATAATGTCCTTTAAGCTCAAAATATCGAACTTTTGATAGACACAGCGTTTACTAATCAAAATTGAAAACATTTTGAAGCCTAAGTGAATGATGTTCTGGTTAAGAATAGCTGAACAACACATGACAAATTTATAAAGAAAATAAATTAAAACAGCATTTACATATTACAATCTTTCTAAATTAAATTTCGATTTTTTTTTTTATTTTTTTTTTGTAATTTAAATTTGACCGGAAGCTTTTTTTTTTTTTTTTTTTTTTTTTTGTAATTTAAATTTGACCGGAAGCTCTTCGACACTCCCAAGAATGAAGTCAACGGGCAAAAATGGTTTCTTGAAAATATAAAATCATGAATAAAAAATAAAAAAGATAATTAGAATTTATAATGATTCCACGTCATGTCTACATCATTTAAAAATTCGATTTTTCAACATTTCATGGCACCATAATTCCATCTACCCATTAATATATTCGAAATGGTAATATTTCATAATGTCTATATCTACCGATTAATATATTTGAAAATGGCTGATTTGTAAATAGTAAGTTTGGGGTGGTTTTTATGTAATTTCCCCCTATTTATTAATTATAAAGAGATTTACATATTTACCACGAAAAAAAATTATTTATTACCATATCTACCATCCAAGTTTTGATAGTCACACTTTTAAAACTTGGGTTTCCTAAATCAATGCATGAAAAGAAATATGTCATTTTTAATAGTATAATCATATTGCTAATCATGTTGCATCAGGACTCTGCACGTAGAGTTACGTGCGGAGTCCAATGAAATCACACCAGGTTGAGGTGATGGGAAACAAATAAAATATGTGCGGTAACACAAAAGAATATTCCTCCCGTGTTATTTAGGTGTTATTGTGTGTTATTCAATTATTATTTTGTGTTATTGAAGTGTTATCGATGTGTTCTTTGTTATTATAACATCGGGAATATTATTATAGCACAATAACACCTGAATAACATAAATAACACATGAATAACACGGAATAACATGAGAGATATTTTTTTGTGTTACCGAGCTGATTTTTTTTTTGTACATTTATGTGGCGTGATTTCATTAGATTTCGCAAGAAACTCTACGTGCGGAGTCCAGATGCAATAATTTTTCGTATTTTTTATGTGATTTTAAAGATTTAGGTGATATGAATGTAAATATGAGAGTTTAGGTGTTAGATATGTAAATACATGAGAATTGTGTGGTATGTATGTATATGCCCCTTAATTAT